TGGACAAGGAGGCTGGCTGAGCCCAAGTCCCTGTTGGTGCAGAACGCTGGGCAAGAAACCTCCACATTGGAGTGTCAGGAGCGCCTGCAAACCATCTCTGCCCTCATGTCATCCATCACATAGAGGCGCGTCTATTGCCGTTTTGTCGTGATCAAACTTGAATTTCTGCCGGGCTGCAAATGCCCCGATGGGTCCCTGACAGGGTTATGAACTCTTTGTATAAAAGCCTCTTTATAAATAAGATTTCTGACGGCTGTAGCGGTTTTGCTGTCTGGGAGAGGGAGTGTGGGAGGAAAGGGAGCACAGGGGCAGGGGGCAGGCAGCGAAGGCAAAGTTACCAAGTTCGAGGCAGCGAGGTCACCAAACGGCCGTCCTCGATTGCCAACAGGGGCTCACGGCTGGCTTTTTAGAGCAGAAAACCCACAGGAGAGGTGAGTCCATCGGAGTCTATGTTTCCTGAATGGTCTTCACACACACAGAATGGCCCTTCCCTGCCTAAGTGTCCGGATCCCGGAGCGACTGCCCTCGCGTCTTTGAGATTTTCACTCCTGTGTGCGGCCTGGTCAGCCAGCGTCTCCAGATTCATTGCCTTTGATTTAACAGTGGAGTAATCACTGCTATGAAATTTTCCTTAAAAAAAAAAATTTTTTTTTTTATTGATTCAGAGAGGAAAGGAGAGGTAGAGAGAGATAGAAACATCAATGATGAGAGGGAATTATTGATTGGCTGCCTCCTGCACGCCCCCCCACTGGGAATCGATCCTGCAACCGAGGCATGTGCCCTTGACCAGAATGGAGAGGAATAGAGAGCCAGAAACGCCGATGAGAGAGAAACATCGATCAGCTGCCTCTTGCACACCCCCTACTGGGGATGTACCCACAACCAAGTTACATGCCCTTGACCGGAATCGAACCTGAGACCTTTCAGTCTGCAGGCCGACGCTCTACCACTGAGCCAAACCGGTTTCGGCTGAGATTTTTTCTTTTTCCATAAAGGAAAAGACAGTTAAGCAAAAGACATGTCATAGTAAGTGTATCATTTCCTCGTCTTAACCTCTCTCCTTGGTCCCGTTAGTGCAGGGGCGTGTGAGTGTCACTTCTTCCATGGGAGCAAAATAGGGAATTCCAAGAAGCAAGGCCTTTTCAAGAAACATCATGATTCCACAACCCCCATCCCCACTGTGCTGACTCATGAACTCGGGGGAGGGGTGTGTTTTGCTTCTTATCTTCCTGGAATTCCTAGGAAGTGCCAGCGAAAGTTCATGTTGCAAGAGAAAGACATCGGTTCATAGGTCATGTGTCTGAGTCGCTCCGATTGTGTGGCGGTCTGAGTTGTCCTGCACACCTGTGTGTCGCCTGTTTCCAGCTGTGCACCAGTGAGCTGTCCTTCTGACAGATCCCGTGCATCCAAACGCGGCCGGTGGCAAGCCCACCTTGTCTGCCTCTGTTCACCCGTTGCTGACCCTCGGCCCTCCGCTCCGCTCTCTGCCAGCTAAAGAGTTAGCGACTTCGGCCATGGAGGGGGGACAGGGCGGCTAAAGGCCCGTGCCTGGGGCGAGGGGGAGCGGGGGGGGGGGGGGGGTAGGTGGTCCCGTGGAGCCTTCTGGACAGTGTTCTGAAAAACGCAAATAGTCCCACTTGGCAATGCGTTTGACCTAACCGCAGATTGGAGTTACGTTCTGACTTCGTGGACCGCCTTCCCTTAGCAGCATAAGGCTTCCCCCTGCCATCTGATCTCTCGGGTGCACTCCGTCCTCGCTTCAGCTGCTGGCGGTCCGCTGCCTCCGTGGCCAGGGTGGCGAAGGCAGGCAGCAACAGCAGAGCATGTGTCCTCGCTTCTCTCTCAATGGGGAGGAGAGCGCAGGTCTCAGGAGTCCGGGGGCACTCAGTCTCCTGGTCACCTGTACACACCCGGCGCGTTTTCCAAATTCCTCCCAACTTAAATGAAAAACAAAAATAAAGCCCGGCCGGTGTGGCTCCGTGGTTGAACCAGAAGGTCATAGTTCAATCCCCAGTCAGGGGACATGGGTTGTGGGCAGGCTCAATCTCCAGTAGGGGGCGTGCAGGAGGCAGCCTCTCTGTGATTCTCTCATCATTGCTGTTTCTATCCCTCCCTCCCTCTCCCTTTCTTTCTTAAATCAATAAAAAATATATTTAAAAATAAGTAAATGAGAATTAAAAACACATGCCGCCTTCGATCCTGTGCCCTAATAACGGACTCCCCTTACTTCCGGCCAGTGTTCCTGACAGAGTGGTCAGACCTATGAACCAGGAAGTCCCGGTTCCATTCCCTGTCATGGCATGTGCCTGGATTGCCGGCCCCATCCCCAGTGTGGGGTGTACAGGAGGCAGCCGATCAGGGATTCTCTCTCATCACCGGCGTTTCTATCTCTCTCTCCCTCTCCCTTCCTCTCTGACATCAATAAAAAACCATTTATCAAAAGCAAAAGGGAATAGACCCTGTTGGAAGCGAAGAGAAGGGCCCGGCCCAGAGGCACGGTGGGCCTGGCATCCCCTCCCTGCAGAGCAGCAACTCTCGGCACCATCCCTGCCCAGGGGGCGCCTGTGCAGGGCTCTAGGCTGCCCAGCTGGGGAAGGCGATGGCAGGACCAGCTCCGAGGGTCCTTGAGTGCCCGGGGTTGTGGGGAGGCTGTCACCACCGAGGTCAGACTTGGAGACAAGCGGCTTGGCTGTTCTCACCGGGGTCAGCTGGTTCGGCTGAGATGCGCATTGCAATGGGCTCTGTCACTGGCATCTAGGTACGTGGCCTCCCTCTACTGAGACGCCGGCCTTAGTGACCAGTCCCAAAACACAGGAAAGTGCAAGTCGGATTCAACACCAGCAGTGTCCTCCTCATCCCCTCCCTCTCCCACACGGTGCTGAAGGAATCACCGAGTGTTGGTTTTAAAAATGGAAGAGCTAACAGGCAGCACAAGTGGACCCCTCGCCTCTGATCAGTCCCACCGCCACCCCCAACTCCGCAGACGGTCCCCAGCCACCAGCAAGCCCTGACAGGCGAAACCAGAGGACACAGTGTGTTGGCTACTTGTCTTGGAACCAGTGTGTGTTCCCACAAGCCGGGCAGGGGTGACCCAGCAAGAGCTTTCCCACGTCCTGGTTGGTTCTTAGCTTCTCTCTCTCTCTCTCTCTCTCTCTCTCTCTCTCTCTCTCTCTGTCTGTCAATTTCAGAGAGGAAGAGAGAGAGGGAGAGAGAGAAACAGCAACGATGAGAGAGAATCATCGATTGACTGCCTCTTACACACCCCACACTGGGGATCAAGCCCGCAACCTGGCCATGTGCCCTGACCCAGGATCAAACTGTGACCTCCTGGTTCATAAGTCAAAGCTCAACCCCTGAGCCACGCTGGGCGGTTCTCAGCGTCTTCAGAAGACCCCAGAGTGGCACCAGGTTCCGGGAGCCGGCTGGACCACCCTGTCCTTGACCGGACCTCCTCCTGCATTCACCGCCACCGCCTTCCCAGGAGCAAAGGGGAGGGCCGCGGAGGGGAAGCAGGGCTGCTGCTCCCAGGACCTGGTTTTTGCCTGAAGAGTGCCTCCAGATAAGAAGCTGGGACCGGAGGGTCTCCATAAGCAGGGGGGGGGGGGTCCTCCAGGTGCCAGCAGTGACACCCCTCCCGCCCCCCTCACGCCCAGGAAGAAACCCAATGGGTCAGATTGTTCACATCACTTCCATTTCACTTAGGTGGACGCTGTCCGGTGCTGCAGGCGGGGCAGTCAGAGCCCGGTGTGCCTGCGGGCGGTAGAGGATGCCCGGCAGCGTGAACCCGTGCCACTGGGCCGTAAGCAGACTGAGAAGCCAGGCCAAGGGGAGCTGGCCGTTTCGTGACCTCTGTTCCCCCAGAGCTGCTGGGCCAGGAAGGCACTGACAGCAAAGGGGAGGGAGCCCGTGGGGACCCGGCCTGAACGCAGGCAAGGCTGTGTTTGCCCAAGTCAGAATGGCTGTGTTCCCCTGTGTCAGTTAGGGTAAGCCAGCAGAGCCAGGTAGAAGCTGCCCCCTGCTGGCAGGCACAGAGAGGTGCATGCAAATGTCCACCTCCTGAAAAAGTCATGTTCTGGTCTGGCTTGGTGTGGCTCCGTGGTTGAACATCCACCCACCAGGAGTCACGGTTCGATTCCCAGTCAGGGCACATGCCCGGGTTGCAGGCTTGGTCCCCAGCGTGGGGCATGCAGGAGACGGCCCATCCATGGTTCTCCCTCATCATTGATGGTTCTCCCTCTCCCTCTTCCTCTCTGAAATCAATAAAAATATGTGTTTTTTACAAAAGTGCTTTCTTGGGGATTCGGAGAGCTGCCTTCGTTATTCCTGTGACAGCCTCTCTTGTCCAAGCGTGGGCCTGGTCCTGCAGGTTCAGTCCCTGCGGAGGGCTTGTGAGGAACGCAGACTCTCAGGCCCCACCCTTGGTCCCGGAAGAATCAGTGTACAGGGCCGCAGGGTCCCCGGGGGATTCACGATCCTCGTGCACATTTACACGTGAGAAGCCCCTGAGCTTGACTTCCATAGGAACTCCGACCCGGGGCACCGAGCACTGTGCCCTCCCGTGTGGGTCAGGTCGAGTTCACTTGAAACAGGGAGTGAAAACCACCACAGGGCAAGGAGAGTTTGACCCTGGTTGCCTTATGCCCTTATTTTCTTCCTCTTCTTGCCGCACCTGCCCTCGCCCATCACTCACCCTCGCCCATCACTCACCCTCGCCCATCACTCACCCTCGCCCATCACTCACCCTCGCCCATCACTCAGCCTCGCCCATCACTCACCCTCTCCCCCGCTGTATCTCAGTGACCTGCAGGATTTCAGCAGCAGCAGCATCTGTCCGGGAAGGATGGGGGAGCCATAGGTTCTGCCTCTGGCACCCCCTGCGTCCCTCTCCCGTCCCAAGGCCCTGCTGGTACCACCTGCGTTTGCCAGGAGCGGTGGGCCCACAGGGGGAGCTGCCGGGCCCCGTCCACCTGTCTAACCCGCGGTGTTCTTTCCCGTGCCAGGTCAGGGAAGAGTGCCGGCTCCTGAACGCCCCGCCGGTGCCGCCCCGAAGCGCCAAGCCTTTGTCCACCAGCCCCTCGGTCCCACCGCGCGCAGCCAGGCCCCGGCCGCAGACCCGCTCTCCCAGCCCCACCCTGTCCTACTACTCGTCAGGGCTGCACGACATGTAAGTTCACGCCAGGGCCCTGCTGGCAGGCCCTGCCCCGGCCGGGTCAGGGGTTCGAGGACAGCATGGAGGGATCATCCCCAAGGCCGGTGGCGGGAGAGGAGACAGTCGTGTTGGGCTTGAGCTAGGAGGAGGGCCAGGGTCCCCGGAGGAAAGAGCCCGAGCCGAGTGCTTCAGTGATGAAGGCCGACTGGTTCTCTTACAAGCAATCCAGCCCGGCCGACCTGGCTCAGGGGCTGAGCATCGACCTAGGAACCAGGAGGTCACGGTTCGATTCCTGGTCAGGGCACAGGCCCGGATTGCAAGCTCAATCCCCAGTGTGGGGCGTGCAGGAGGCAGCCGATCCATGATTCCCTCTCATCGTAAATGTTTCTCTCTCCCTCTTCCTTCCTTTCTAAAATAAATTGTATATAGATAGATAGATAGATAGATAGATAGATAATTAAATTTATATTTATATAAGTGAATTAAATACATATATTTAAGTTAAAAGAAAGAAAGAAAGAAAGAAAGAAAGAAAGAAAGAAAGAAAGAAAGAAAGAAAGAAAGAAAGAAAGAAAGAAAGAAAGAAAGCAGCAGCAATCCGTGGGCTGCCCTCAGCTCTCAGCTCTCCCAAACCAGCAGGCGTCCCGTCCGCTTTGCGACATGAGCACCCAGGCAGCACCTCCGGGATCGGCCCTGACAGGGTCCCCGGCTCGCCCTGCTGGGCGTCCCCAGGCGGGGCGAGCCCTTGTGGGCCGCCCATCGCTGCCAGGCGTCCCCCGTCCCGCGGGGACCTCCCTCTCCCGCAGGACAGCTCCCGTCGCCGTGGGCACGTGCCCACCCTTTTCCCAGGGAGCCTCTCACTACGTCGCGTTTGACACCTCGAGCCACGTGACTTCCCGGCGTTTCCCACGTCTACAAGGCAGAGGGCCCCTCGCGTCTCCTCGGGAGCCCGTGGGGATGGGGGGTGAGCCGGGTGTGATCCTCTCAGGTGCCCTGGCGCCCCCGCCGGTGCCTCCCGAGCGCGTGCTGGCCGGCTCAGTGCCCTTACGCTGCGGCCACGCCGAGCACCAAGCACGCTCTCCCCGCACCTCCCCCACCCCCCCACCCCGGTCCTCACGGGTTTAGTGGCTCCTCTTCGCAGGGACCTTCTGTTCTGCAGACACTTTACTCTTTGTGCTAATGTGACTCGATGGTGCAGAGGCCCAGGCCACCCCAGCACGGCACCTGAGCGTTTTCTCTGCCTGGAGCCCTTGGGTGGGAAGAGACCCAGGGTGGTGGCCAGGTGGTCGTGTCCCGCCCGGGTGCAGGGTGGCCCGCACCAGGCGCCCCGCTGCCGCTCGGGCCTGGCCGCTGCGCACGCCACCCGTCAGCCCAGCCCCCGCCGGTGATGCGCCCGAGCGTGGGTGTTTCTCATCAGAAAGATCTAGGCACCCACCAGCCACGGGTGTCTTGTTAGTTAAATAGGTGTGTACTCTGAGATGTGCCATCTCCTCTGTGGCATTTTAAATCGTGTTCCTATCCATAGTTAACACTCTGTTAGCAATTTAAAACTTCTCTTTTTAATTCTTTAAAGTATATTTTTATTGATTTCAGAGAAGAAGGGAGATGGAGACAGAGAGAGAGCGAGGAATATTAATCCTTGGTGGGCTGCCTCCTGCACGCCCCCTACTGGAAAGATTCTTTTTTTTTTTTTTTTTTACATTTTTTTTTTCAGGGGCTATCTATTTTATTTTCATTTTTATTTTATTTTTTAAATATATTTTATTGATTTTTTGCCCCCCTCCCTTCCTCCCTCCCTCCTATACATACCCTCCCTCCCCAAAGTTTTATGTCCATTGGTTGTACTTGTATGCATGTACACAAGTCCCTCGGTTGATCTACTATCTCCCCCAGATTTTCCTCCCCTCCCCACTGTAATTTAACAGTCTGCCGGTTGCTTTACTGGACAGATTCTTTTTTAAAAAATATATATTTTATTGATTTTTTTTGTTGTTGTTCAGAGAAGAAGGGAGAGGGATAGAGAGATAGAAACATCCATAAGAGAGGAACATCGACCAGCTGCCTCCTGCAAACCCCCCTGCTGGGGATGTGCCCGCAACCAAGATAACATGCCCTTGACCGGAATCGAACCTGGGACCCCTCAGTCCGCAGGCTGACGCTCTATCCACTGAGCCAAACCAGTTTCGGCTGGACAGATTCTCTTCCTAGAAAACTCCCTGAGATTCACAGGTCCCGATGGAATTCGTAAGAAACGGTGTCCGCCTTCCTCGCTGCGCTTTGCTGCGCGGGCGGCAGCTTTCTGGGGGAAGGACAGGCTTGCCGTGGGTGCTGTGTCCTGGCCGCTAACCCCCCGCCCCCTTCTGTGTTGGCTTTCAGCAGCGTGACTAAAAGCGACGCCAGCCCTTCCGACAGCGCCCCCGCCTCCTGCTACCCGTGCCCCCGCAGGAAGCCCGACTCGCTGGACCTGCAGTCCCCGCCGGGCAGCCCCCTGGACCCGCTGTCCGCGCGGCTCTCCTGGCCGGGCCGCCACGCAGGGGCGCGCTCGGAGGCCCACGCCTGCAGGGACTTCCTGCTGGACCCCAGCCGCAGCTACAGCTACCCCCGGCAGAAGACGCCGGGCACGCCCAGCAGGCACTGCCCGGCGCCCTTGGACCTGGAGGGCTGCGAGCCCCTGGCCAGCCCCCCGAGCGCGGCCCCAGCGGGCGGCGGCGGCGCAGCCGGCGGCTCCGGCTCCGGTTGCCCCAAGTCGGCCAGCTACTCCCTGGGGAGCACCGACGAGAAGCTGCTGGCGGCCGGCACCGCCAAGCAGAGCCTCTCGTGCCCGGCCCTGCCCCCCAGGGCGCCGCGGCCGGTGGAAGAGAAGGCCGCCTCCTCCGGAACCCCGCCTTTGCCCCTGAAGATCGACGGTGCCGAGGGGGACCCCGCGGCGGGGTCCTCGGACCCGGCCGAGGACCAGTACTTTGCGCAGAAGGCGGGCGCGGTGCAGGACATCTTCTCGGTCCCCTACCCCTTCTCCTCGCCGCTGCACCTGCAGCTGGCGCCCCGCTCCTGCGGGGACGGCTCCCCCTGGCAGCCGCCCGCCGACCTGTCGGGCCTTTCCATCGAGGAGGTGTCCAAGTCCCTGCGCTTCATCGGCCTGTCGGAAGACGTCATCTCCTTCTTCGTGACCGAGAAGATCGACGGGAACTTGCTCGTGCAGCTGTCGGAGGAGATCCTCTCGGAGGATTTCAGGCTGAGCAAGCTGCAGGTGAAGAAGATCCTGCAGTTCATCAGCGGCTGGCGGCCCAAGATATAGCGCTCCCCTCCCCCCGCTTTCACCGCGAACCCCGGAGCGAACCCGGGAGCGAACCCGGCGCGGGGCTGGGACCCGAGCTCGTGTTTTCTTTTGCACTAAACACCTTCTCTGTGAACAGGGGTCAGAGAAGCGCTCGCTATGCAGACCGCCCACGTGTTTTGGATGGTGAGCAGGCTATTTTGTACATCAATAAACACGCTGTAAAAAAAAACAAAAAAACACGATTTAAAATGCAGAGGTGCCTTGAACGTCACTCCACACTCAGCAGCTGCTAAAGGACAACAGGCATGTCCCCGAGACGGGGCCCTCCCCCGAGCAGGGTGATGCGAGAAGGTATGATATTTATTACAAAATAGCCAAAGCGGAAAGACATGAGGATCTTTAAAAAAACAAAACAAAAATAAAACCAACAACAGTTCCTTCCTTGAGGGAGGGTGTGGGTGGGGAGAGGGGGGGACAATCTATTGTAGTTAGCTCTGTCCTGTGCTCTGTCGGGGTACGCAGTGCGAGCTGTCTGACTCTGTGCCTGGCCACGCCGGTGCTATGAAACGACACTGTCCTGTTAAATGCTCGACGGGTGGATCTTTGCATCCGACGGCGTTTTCCAAAAGTCGTCGGGTGGACGGAAGACACGGGACGCCCTTAGGAATCACACCGACCCTGGCCACGGTCATTCATCTGTACCTGCTGCTACTTTTATCGAGCAGAAGAAGAGAAAAGCAGAATAGATACCATATGTGTGTAAATGTGTACGCAATACATATGTGTATGTTTTCCACCTCGTTGTCAGTCTGATGTTTTAAGGTAAATGTTTGTTCGCTTCCACATGCCCACAGAGGTTGGGGGCCGCTGGCGCGTGGACTCTCTGAGGGGGTGCTGGGAGCCCGCCCCTCGAAGCCCGGCATGGGGGTTCCCCCCCGGGGAGCGTGAACGAGATCAGGGGAGAGGCGGTGGGGGGGGTTCCCTTGGCCTGGAAGCTGTGGTGGGGCTGGGTTTTGCGTGTTACCCTCCCTGCTGACCTCTAGGGAAATGACGATGCTTCTCAGGTGGAGGGCCTCATCCCCTCCCCCCCCCCCCGATTTCCGAAAGTGGGGTCTGCAGGGCGTTACTCGGGCACCAGATGCACCATCTTCCGTGACGATGGGCTACATCCGATGAGGAAGCATGTGGCCATGGACACACTCCTCACTGTAGGAGAAGGGAAGGGGGGGTTCCCGGTGAAGGTTGCCCTGCAGACAACTGCCTCCTTTTGTCTTTCTTTTTGTTTTTGGCAAAAAAAAAAAAAAAAAAAAAAAAAAAAGGAAAGAAGACCTATGGCACAAATCTCTTCATGCAACGGGCCTCTTAGTAATAAAATAATATGATTATTTTTTAAATTAATTAATTAAATAAAATGAATAAATAAATAAAGGAGCAGGGAATTTGTCTGAAGGGAGTCTTAATGCTGCAAGCCGTTCTGTCTGAGCAAGAGCCGAGACCCATGGCATTCAAACAACCCGACAGCACTCACACAGCGTGCCACACCTGTGTGATTGGGAGTTAGAACCAGACCACAGACAGAGGACCTGGAGAGCTTAAAAAAAAAAAAAAAAAAAAAAAAAAAAAAAAAGCATCCGTGTTTGCACAGGACAGAGGGAGTACACGTCCACAGCACTGGCTTTTTGCTTCTCGGACCTCTGTGCCTTACTATCCAGCAGAGCCAGCGCGCAGAAATTGGGGCGGGGGCTGGAGAAAGGCCTGGGCGTTTAGCGTGCTGTGGCATCCACCTGCAACACCTGCACATTTTCCAGAAAAGGGAGCCAGTGGAGGCTGGCTCAGCGCTTGTATTGTGCTCCAACGAGCATCAAGTAGCTCCCCAACATGTATGCCCCACATTTCTTTTTATTTTTATTTTTATTGAGCCGTTAGAGTGAGAGTCACTAGAGGATGGGAGGACAATGAGGTCAGATGTTCCGACCTCCTCAGCTTCGCACCAGAACGTCGTGCTGTTCTCTCTTCGTGGACAGCACACCCCCAAGTCACTCACCCCATCTTAGTACCTAAGGCTCGACCCTTCGTCCTGTTCCCCGGGGATAAAACCTGTGCCTGAACCGTAGGTGACCAAGGATCGGCCTCAGCCCTGGGAACTCTTGCCCCGTGCACGCTGGGACGGATGACTCCCCCCAAACGGGACTCTGCAAAGTGAGTTTGAGAGTTCAGAAGTAAGTTGCATTAGAATCAAGGATGTTTGGGACCCTCCGTGCCTGAGGCTAGAAAAAGCCAGGTCATTGAAAAGAATGCTACGTCCTGGGCACATCCTACTGCATGGACTGAAATTTCCCTTAAGCCCCTTCCCCCCTCAGCCCCTTCGTGGGCATCTAACTCACACAGGTCCTTCAGAATTGACCAATGGCACCCGCACGCTCACAGGGCGTCTCTCTTCTGGGCTGAGGTGGCCTAACGTGCATACCTCCAACCAGCAGTAGAGTGTAACCCAGGAACCAAGTGGTCATTGGTTCGAACGATCCAGAGCACATGCCTGGATTGTAGGCCTGATCCCCAGGAAGGGGCATGCAGGAGGCAGCTGATCTATACTGTTACTGTTCCTCTCTCGCCAGTGTTTCTAGCTCTCTCTCTCCTTCCTCTCTAAGTATCAGTAAATCATATTTTAAAAGGGCAGGATAGCCCTAACCAGTTTGGCTCAATGGATAGAGTGTCGACCTGCGGACTGAAAGGTCCCAGGTTCGATTCCGGTCAAAGGCATGTACCTTGGTTATGGTCACATCCCCAGTGGGAAGTGTGCAGGAGGCAGCTGATCAATGCTTCTCTCTCATTGATGTTTCTAACTCTCTATCCCTCTCCCTTCCTCTCTGTAAAAAAAAAAAAAAAAAAAATCAATAAAGTATATTTTTAAAAAAGCAGAAGATGACCTTGCCCTGGTGCTCTCTAGGCAGTGCTGGCTGGAAATCAAGAGATTCTTCCCCGCCCCCCCCCCCGCCCCCACCCTGCTTTCTGCTTATAAAATGGAAGCTCTAAACATGTCTCTTGCTTTCTTGCCTTTTTTGACCAAAAGGAGTGACGCTGGAGATGTGAGTGAAACAGTATACGACTTAAAAGCCCTAAGAAATTTACACAGAGGGCACACACCTTTCACCCCGCTATAGCCAGGGAAGCTCCTAGGAAGTTCATACACTGGGCCACGTTGGTGGAGCAGCAGCTGTAGTTCTAAGTATGGCCACATGGTGTCGGGCTTTTCCAACCAGCTAATGACTACTCTGGCATTGGTCCAGGCAACATTTTTTGTTTTTCTGTAATCATTGTTTCTATTATATGTTTCCCCACAGCTGTAATTACTATACACCATCCGTTTTAATGCAATATGGAAAGGGAAAATAAAAAGTTAATATGTCAAACGGTGGGACTCCGTGGTTCAGCATTGACCTATGAACCAGGAGGTCACAGTTCCTAGTCAGGACACATGCCGGGTTGCGGGCTCCATCCCCAGAAGGGAGCATGCAGGAAGCATCCAATCAATGATTCTCTCTCTCTTTTTTTAAAAATATATTTTATTGATTTTCTACAAAGAGGTAGGAAAGGGACAGAGTTAGAAACATCGATGAGAGAGAAACATCGATCAGCTGCCTCCTGCACACCTCCCACTGGGGATGTGCCCCCAACCAAGGCACATGCCCTTGACCGGAATCGAACCTGGGACCCTTCAGTCCGCAGGATGACGCTCTATCTACTGAGCCAAACCGGTCAGGGCAATTTTCTCTCTTAACATTAATGTTTCTCTCTCTCTCCTCCCTCTCCCTTTCTCTCGGAAATGAATTTTTAAAACTATATATTTTTAAAAAGATTAATGTTATGCTAGTATTCTGGAGCTATGAGACACGAGATGAAAAAAGAGGATGCTGATTTTATTGCAAATGATGATGCTCCAGACGGAATCTCCCATGGACCCTTCCTGCGTGGAAGGAAAATGGGAGTTCAGTCATGCAGCGCCTGCGCTCTGTCCTCTCCACCGTCACGTGGATCCCACACCTACAAGCAGTTTTCCTGGCCGCCATGCATAGACGTGGGAAGGATAAAAGACACAAAGCAAACGACTGGCCTTTAAAATGAAAAAGGGGGGGGGGGGTATTGATTTCAGAGAGAAGAAGGGAGAGGGAGAGACAGATAAAACATAGATGAGAGAGGATCATTGATTGGCTGCTTCCTGCATGCCCCTCACTGGGATTGGAGCCCACAACCCAGGCATGTGCCCTGACGGGGAATCGAACCATGCCCTCCTGGTTCCTAGGTGGATGTTCAACCACGGAGCCACACCAGCCAGGCCTTGAAATGACTTTTTGGACAAAGCGCTCCCCATTTTCATTCCGTACCAAACCCAGCGAGCTGTGTCGCTGGTCTCAGGCAAATGGGGTGAGAAGCAGACAAACATGACTCGTCCTGTTTCAGAAGCAGCAGCTCCTGCTCGTTAACGAGACCTGCAGGTGAGATGCTGAAGCAGCGACGCCTTCTCATCTCCACACCCTTCCTCCACTCATTGTGGAGAGCGGGCGGGGAGGGGGGTGTCAAATCAGCATCCGATGTAGTGATCGCCTTGTTAGCATAGTGGTTCTGAAGAGCCATTTAAAGCAAACTCTCCTGAAGCAGGAAAGCGGTGAAAGGGACAGGTCTCCCAGAGCCCTGGGGAAGGGAGCTGTGATTCACGAATTCATGTCTGTCCCACGTGGAGCAGTAAGTGGACAGGAGGAGTCCAGTGGGCAGGAGTAGCCCAATGGGCAGGAGGAGCCGGTGGGCGGGAGGAGCCGGTGGGCGGGAGAAGCCCGTGAGCGGGAGGAGCCGGTGGGCGGGAGGAGCCAATGGAGAGGAGGAGCCGGTGGGCGGGAGGAACCCGTGGAGAGGAGGAGCCCAGTGGGCAGGAGGAGCCGGTGGGCGGGAGAAGCCCTTGGACAGGAGGAGCCCTGACCTCAGTACCATTGGAACGTGTTCTCATGCTGGCCCATCAAGGGCCT